GGGCAGAGGTGGAGTGAGCAAAGCCAGCTAGGTGTCAGGCTCTGCCGTGACCCAGGGCTGTGCTGTCTGTTTTGGCTGGGAGACCCTTAGCAGGCCACCAAACCTCTATGCATGGACTCAAAAGTGTTCCATTTTTATTGGCTGCTGCTATGATGGTCTTTGGGCACCTCTGGCTGTGAGAAAGTCCTTCCTCACTCTGACCTGTATAATATCATTAGCTAGTATTAACTGAGCACCTGCCAAGTGCCAGGACACCTGATGGGGGAAACAAGTGATGCTTAAGGTAGTGATGTGCCTCACCCAAGTCTACCCAGCTAGAGAATGCAAACCCAAGCTCTAACCACTGTGGACACTGCCTGCCTGAGTTGGCCTCCCCATGGGTCCCAGCTCTCACTTGGCACCAGGCTCCCATCTCTCTGGGTCTCAGTTTCCCTCGGGCTCCCCTTCTCTCCGGGTCTCGGTTTCCCTCGGGCTCCCCATCTCTCTGGGTCTCGGTTTCCCTCAGGCTCCCTGTCTCTCCAGGTCTCGGTTTCCCTGTGTGTGCAGGTTGGACTATATGAGCCATGACAGTCCTTTGCCCGCTGACCCTCTGAACCCTAGTCTTATCCTCAAATGACCCAGAGATGCAGCAGGCCTGGATCCTGTCCTGGAGAAGTCCAGAGTCCAGCAGGAGGGTAGACATGGTCTGTGTCCCAGCACCCAGCACAGGGCCTAACTCTCAGAAAATAGCAAGGTAGGTTGCTGAACACAGCAGGTCCCTGAACAATGCTGTTTCTCTCATCATCATTTCATTATAATACAGATGAGAACAAAATCAATTCCAGGCCAGGGCCTCTGTCTGTGTGGACTTCACGTATTTCCTCTGGGTACTCCTACATCTCCAGAAGTGCAGTTGGTCCAGGGTGGGTGAGCATGGGGCGTGTGTGAGTGCCCTCCAACAGGATGGCTTCCGCTCCAGGGCAGAGTCTTGCTCCAGTCACCTAATACTTTGAACTGGAATAAATGGACAAATGATTTATCTCGTTCTTATTAGTCGGGCTCCCCATCTCTCTGGGTCTCAGTTTCCCTGTGCGTGCAGGTTGGACTATATATTCTCAAATATATGCATAGCTCACATTTATTTCAATGTTTAGTATTAAAAGTGTTTTCGGTCTTTATTTAGAAGTTTGGTGATGTTTTTGTGACCAGAAATATGTAGGAACTTAACTCTCATTTATGTCAATTAGCCTACAGTAAAATTGGTTTATTACACATGATGTTGCTTAAAGTCACAGTTTCTAAGAACCTGTGGGTGACATTAAGTGAGGAGTTACTGTGCTGTTTCGCAGGCTGGTGATTTATGCTGATGTCCACAACCTCTGCCCCTCTAGTCTCAGACAAGCCGAGGATCGGGGCAGTTCTAATCCTTTAACAAGTTCATCCATCCCAACTCTGTGAGGCCGGCACTAGTGTGACCCCTGTTTTACAGGTAGGAAAGCTGAGGCACTGAGAACTATCACTTACCCATGGTCATATGGAGAGTAGAGGTGGGACCTGTGTCCACTGCCCTGGCTCCCAGCCTATGCCTGTACCTGTCACAATAACTGCCTTCTAAAAGGGGGTGTCGGGACCAGCAGGGGTGACCTGTGAGTTCTAGGTGGGATTTACAGCTGGATCAGAGTGTGAGGGGGACCCAGGCTTATGTCACTTTACCTGCCTGGCCCCTTGGACCCTCAAGCCAGCCCAGGGAGAGAAAGGATTATCACCTCCATTTACAAATGGGGAAACCCAGGCACAAAGCCATGAAGCCATTTGCCCCAGTCACTGAGAGCCTAGATCCAAACACAGATCTGAATCCAGGCCTGAATTTTACCTGTAAGAGGCTGCCCTCCACAAGGAAAGGTAGCTATCCTCCCGTGATTTGGAGACAGTGAGCAGCCTAGCTCAATCTCGCGGGGTGAGGTGGGGTTCAGATCCAAGGCAAGTGAGCATGAGGGCTGGGGTCAGCCTTCACCTGAGGGTACTCCCCAACAGGCCACCAGGATGCCCGAAACCAGAGACGGAGAAATGACTTCGCCCCTCTCCTAGGTCAGAGGTGATGAAAGCAGAAACGAGGATGTGATCAGTGTAACACATATTATGCACCTGCTGTATGCCAGCCTCACTTCTACAAGTGAGGACTTCTATCTCACCAAGTCCTCCACAGAGGAGAGGGAGATCGTCCGCCTGGAGCCACAGTGCAAGTGTGTCGGAGGCAGGATTTGAACCTGCATTAATTCACCACAGATCACACCCCACCCAGTCCACTGTGCCTCAGCACTAATAACAGCAAGGGAGTGCAGAGGAAAACACCCAGGATGGTGGTGACAACTGACTACTCTGTCACGAAGTCACGTGCAGCCTTGGGCAAGGGCCTATGGGTCTTTCCAAGCCTCAATTTCCCAGTCTAGTGGTGCTCAAGGTCCCTGTCCTGAGAGGCTGCTATGAGGATCAAGGATTGAGCACACAGAGGGTGGTGTGGCCCTCACTGTGCAGGGGTCCCCCACATCCTCTCCCTGAGGTCAGGTCTGGCACACGCTCACCACAGCACTCCCTGTAAGGGGAGCGTCAGGGGAAGAGGCCAGGAGGCCTGGGCCCTGCGTCCAGTTTCCTTGCCAGGGGGTATCAGTCTCCCTAAAGCCCTCCCTGAGCGTCAGCCTCCCTGTCAGCAAAGTGGCGATGCTGTAGGCCACAGGCTAGCCCTAAGACCTTCCTCCTTGTCCCTCCAACATGCCCCATCCACCTGCAGCACTACTTTTGAAGTCAGATGAATTTGGGTCCATTCCCTGGGTTTGCATTGCCTGACGGTGTGATCTTAGGCAAACCACTTTGTCTCTCCAAGTCTGTTTCCTCACCTGTAAAACGGTGATGACGGGTGACTTGACTGAGCACATACTCTGTGCTTTAAGCACTTTGCAAATATTAATCATTTAATTCTTGCCACACCTATGAGGCAGGGGCGACTATCCCTCATTTTGCAGATGAGTAAACTAAGGGACAGAGGTAAAGTCACCCCGCTAGTGAGGAGGGAGGTGGGACTCAGAGCCAGGCCCTCCAGGGACCAGGGCCCTTCGCTCCCCGCTGCCCCCTGCGGCCTCCCTCTCAAGCAGGTATCAGTATCATTCCTGGTGGCACGACACCTCTCCACAGTGGCCCTGGGCCTGGAGCAGGGTGTCCCCAGCCAGTGTTGGCTGAGCTGAATGAAACCAACTCAGTGCAGGCTGCCCTAGGGGAGCTCCTGGCCCTAAGCCTAAATATTTGGCAGAGGTGCCAGGGAGGTACTGTGAGTCTTCATTCACATCCGCCTAGAGATACACCGGGCTGGGAGGGGCCCTGTGCCAGTGCTTGCTTTTGTTTCTGCCCAAGGCAGCAGAGCGTGTCCATTCATTCATGTCCCTGACCCCCCCAACATGGCCTTGCCAGCCTAGCAGGGTGGGGGGGGCACGTGTGTGCAGGTGAGGTTAGGCCTGGGGGCTTCTGCTTCCCACTGGAGAACCCCTTACTGCACCACATGGAGGACAGAGCTGGGACTCCAGAGATGAAATCTCATCTCTCCAGGCCTCAGCGGCTCCCCAGCCAGCCATGGTACAAGGTCACATCTCCCAAGCTTTCCCTAGATCAGGGGTGATGGCTAATCATCTCCAGTCCATCTCCACACTCTCCCTGGGTTGCCCACACCAAACCCTCTGCCACTTTAAGAAGTTGGCTTAGTAATCCTAGTACTCTGGGAGCTAAGGTGGGAGGCTCGCCTGAGCTCAGGAGTTTGAGACCAGCTTGAGCAAGAGCAAGACCCCACCTCTATTTAAAAAAAAAAAAATAGAAAAACTAGCCAGGTGTGGTAGCACACACCTATAGTTCCAGCTACTGGGGAGGCTGAGGCAAGAGGACTGTTCAAGCCCAAAAGTTTGAGGTTGCTGTGAGCTATGACATCATAGCACTCTACCCAGGGTGTACACAGATATAATGAACAGCTCTAAACTCTTCATCTCAGCTGGGCTTGATTCTTCTGCCTGGCCTATACCACGAGAGCCCTCACCATCATCACTGACAGTCGCTGGCAGCAACAGATGACAAACGGCAGCCTGCGTGCATGCTGGGGCTTGAAGCTTTTGATCCTGGGAAAAACCCTCTAGATAAGTGTCTTTTACGAGGACACAGCTCACAGACTCTGGAGCTGAGGCGTTGGCTCAAACCCTCACTCCTCCACTTATGAGCTGAGGACTCTCAGCAAGTAACCAACCCCTCTATTCCTCAGTTTCTGCACCCCATAAAATGGGGCTCAGAGAAGCTCCTGTGTCAGAGTGCTGTGAGGTTCAGTACAACTCCATCAGCACCAGCCTCTACCAACCTCCTCCACGTAGCACAGGGCCATCCTGAACCCCAGCCCACCTCCTGATGTCTAGAAGCCTGTCTGACCCTCAGGGGTTACCCTGCTCCCCATTTCAGCTGTCACTGACACTGGGGATGCCATGGTCACTCTGCCAGGCCAAGGCTCTGCCTTCCCCACCTGCCTAGACACCCCACTCGGGCAGCCCATCCCTATGCCCGCTGCAACAGCATGCCCGATCTAGAAGACCACCGCCTCCCAGGGCCCTTCATCTGCTTCCCACACTGCAGACCCTACCACCCAGCTCTGTCCATTTCCTCTGACCCCATTTCCAGTGACCTTAGCCCCCAGAGGCCCTAGACCCTTCTCTGTTTGGAAAGCAACCCCCACTGCCAAGTTTGAGACAACTGGAAACACACATTTTGGAATCTGGCAGAGCTAGATTCTAACTTAGCTCCACCATCACTGAGAGCCAGCCCTGCTCAGCCTTGGTTTCCTCATCTATAAAATAGGAACAGCCAGGGCGGTGCCTGTGGCTCAAAGGAGTAGGGCACCGGCCCCATATACTGGAGGTGGCAGGTTCAAACCCGGCCCCGGCCAAAAACTGCAAAAAGAACCCCCAAAACCAACAAAACAGGAACAACCAGCACAGGACTCCGCAGGACTTGGAGGATGGAGAACATACTAGCATTTATTGAGCAGCTACCCTGTGTCAGGCCCCCATGCCATGTGGATTCTTATCTTCACTTCCTTTCATCCTTAGGAGGCAAGGACTCTTCACCTCAGGGACACACAGCAGCCAGGTCCCACCGAGGGCCTTTATGATTCTGGAGGCGCAGCAGCTCGACGAGGACAAACCCCACCATCAGAGCCCCAGGTGAATGTATGTTAGGTGCTGTGAGTCAGACACAGACAGACCGAAGGCAGGGGTGCGGCGTCTCTAAGTGCTTTGTTAGTGCCTTGGGACCTGGTCTAGTAGGTCTGCATTTTTGACAATATGTGACGTTGGGACCTTCCCCTGCTCCAACAGAGGGAGCATGAGGGAGACGGTGGGAGCACTCCAGGGTGGTAGTGGACGCAAGTCCACAATGGGGCTGCCTAAGGCAGAGACACCTCAGCTTACCTTTGGTCAAAATGAGTCAATGCTCCCCCGTTGAGCGTAGAGGACAGGGCCGGCCCCTTGGGCCCTGGCCACTCAGGTGAGGCCAGTAGGGGCCCTGCCTGAGCCCTGTACCCTCACAACTTCCAGGGAGCCCCACTTGGCCTTGCCAGTGCCTTGGTCCCTGCAGGGTCCTATTCAGCCAACAGCCCCCACCCCAACTTCCCTCTGCTGACCTCACCTCTCTGTGATACCCACCTCCTGGTGCCTTCTCCCCTCCTGGGTCAACAGGCCCCCCAGGGCACCAATGCTGAGGCCTATCTTGTGCTAAGAATTCTGCCCCCACTACCTGCCCTTTGTACTGAACAAGTGAGACCATTGTCAAAGCAGGCATCTGGAGGTCTAGGAGCCTCCCTCCTCTCATCTTCCTGGGAAAGCAGGTCCAGACTTTGCTTTATTGAGGGAAAACCCACCTGCACCCCTTCCCAGCTACCCCTCACATCTAGGCCCAGGGCTTTTGCCTGCTGACCAGGACCCAGGCCCAGTGGGAGGCCTGGCTCCAGCACTTCCTCACAACCCTGTCCACACCAGCACCCATGCCCTGGGGCAAGGAGGAAGGTGAAGCAAATTGCAGGCCTGAGGCAGACAGAGGCCCACGGGCTAGAGATGGAAGCTTCCTTGTTCTGAATGGGTCTGTCTTTCTCCAGACCCAGAAGACCCCAAGCCCTGGGCATTTTTGCTATGGCCCTGGGGCCTAACGTGTCCTCCCCCCATTCTCAGTGAACTGCCACCTCCCTGGGCCTGCTCAGACAACTGACTCCAAGTGGGTGGTCCCTGGAACCACAGGCTCTGCCTTCAGCCCTTGCCCACAGAGGGCCTAGAGAAAGCTGCTCCAGACTCCCAGGCCAGCCCAGTCGGGGACAGCCCCGCCCTCTGTGCTAGCTGGTGGCTGCCTCCACCACCCCAAGAGGTTAGAAAACAAAAAGCACTAAGGGGCGGGCAGGACCGAGAGGCAGGCAGGGAGACTCTTAGAGGGCAGCGCTGGTCAGTGCACTGCTGAGGGAAGAAGCAGTGTGTCTGAGTTCTGTGCCGAGACGCTGGGTGACTCGGGCCCAATGAGCCCCAAGTCGTACAAATTGAGGATGGAGTCAGCAATGATGCGGGCTGTGCGCTTCTGGTACCCACCCGAAGTCACCATGAGGATGGGCACCTGGCAGCCACGGACTATCTGGAACACCAGTTCATCCCGTTTCACGATGCCCTGTGGGGTGTGGAGAAGTGGACTCAGGCAGGCTGGACCCCTGTGGGGTCAGGAAGTCCTGCTGCAAGTCTAGCTCTGCTCTGGACTGTTGTTTTTCGGCCCCTCTCCTCCGTACCATTGGCTGCCCACCTTTCCTGCTGCTGCTGAGTCCATAGAGCAGACTTTCCCCACCCCCCAGGGTCAGGACGTACCCCTGGGCTGATGGACAGCCCCCCAAGGCGGTCACCCTCGAGGATGTCAGTGCCAGCATTGTACACCACCACGTCGGGCAGATGCTCCATCAGGGCTTTCCTGATGTTCGTCTCCACTTTATTCAGGTACTCAGCATCCTCCACACCCCAGTCCAGCTCTACCTTCCTCCTGATGGCCTCTAAGAGGGAGACACAGATAACCCCAAATTCCAGGGATGGAAAACTTAGGCTCAGGAAGAGAAATCCTGCAGTCACCCGGCAAGTCCAACTCCAGCACTGCTTAGTTTTGTTACACTCAAAACTAAGCTCAGAAGGGCACCAGCCCTGCAAAAAGGGACTGGAAGGACCGCAGGGGCAGCAGAGTGGAGTTAAGATGCTTTGGGTCCAGGGATGGGGAGATCTGAGCTGCCATGTTGGATCTCACTGCCTCCTCCAGCCCTCACCCTGATGTATGGACACCCTGCCCTATCCTCAAGCCCAGGTTCAGCACATTTGAACCTGAGTTCAGAAATTGGTCCCTTGGGCCATACTAGCAGCTTATTTATCCACACCATACTCATCAGCGCCTGGTGAAAAAATGTATCCTACCTGCAAAGGCAGAGTCCCTATTTTCAAATCTTATCTGAGAGTCTCTTCCTTTTGATTGATGGATTTAACTTACTTTCTTTTCTTTTGACTACTATAGTTGAACTTGTTTTGTGTTTTCCTTTTTTCAAATTTCTTTTCTTTTGCCCTTTCCTGTTTTCTACCAGACAGATGTATACCATATGCATGAGTTTTAAGTCTCAAGCTGTCACCCTGGGTGGAGTGCTGTGGCATCATAGCTCACAGCAACCTCCAACTCTTGGGGTCAAGAGATCCTCTTGCCTCAGTTTTTCTATTTTTAGTAGATACGGGGTCTCACTTTTGCTCAGGCTAGTCTCCAACTCCTGAGCTCAAGTGATCTACCACATATGTGACCTTGGGTAGGGTGACTTTAGGTGTCAGCTTCCTCATCTGCAAAATGAAAACAATTCCCACCTCCCAGGGTTGCTGTGAATAAATAAAGGTCCCAGCATGTAGGAAACAGTCAGGAGAAAGAGCCTCATTCGAGCAAGAATGCACTTAAAACCAAGGGGCAGGGGCTGAGGCTTACGCTTGGCAAAGCGGTCCCCGGGGTAGATGTGGCGGTTGTAGACATCCATGATGTACACACGCTGGTCATCCATGAAGTCTCGTTCATGCCCATTGCCCTGCATGGAGGACGCAGAAGCCACTCACAGACATGTCCCCTAGGCCAGGCCAGGACACTTCACACCCCAGCTCAGGAAATTCCCCGCATGCCTGGCAGCAGAACTTGCTCTTGGGGCCAGAAGGTTTCATGGCTATCAAGTGGCAGAGCTGGGATTCAACCTCAAACCCTGGCCCACAGCCTTCTGGCATGACCTCGAGCAAGCCCCAGCCCTCTTAGTTTCCTTATCTGAGGCAGAAACCCTAGCTCTGCTACCCTTTCCAGTCTGTGGTGGGACTAGTTAGGGCCAGGAGTGTGAAAGGCAAACTGTAAAGGACTGTGCATGTGACCTGGCTCAGGAGCTCAGTGTCACATGAACCCCAGCAGGACCCTGACTATCCCAAGGCCACAGCCACGGTGGTGTGGAAGGGCACCCCGCATGGGCCCCTCGGATCCCTCCCTGTCTCTGACCAGAGCAGCCTGTCCTGTGTTCAGAGTCCCGAGGAGGAGGTGTTCTGCACTCCGGCACTTCACTGCCGGCTGACCTCAGCGGTCTGAGTAACACTGGCCCTGTGAGCACCCAGCTGAGGAGGCACATGGTGCCCATCCACTCTGTGCAACAGGCAGCACCCCAAACTGCTTGCAGGCAAGGGGAGCCACACAGGGTTCCCAGTGCCAGAGCAGCAATGTCAGAGGAGATTTTAGGAAGCACCTTCACCTGGTGAGTGCTGTGAGGGGCAGCTAGCTAGGAGGCAGGAGGGAGGACCCCAGGGAACAATGTGAGCACCTGCTGCTCCGGCCAGAGGGACAAAGACCCTCTGTCTTAAACCTGTGAGACTGAAGACCAAAGGCCGGAGAGAGGCAGGTCAAGGTGGGACAGCAGAGGCCCACCAGAGGGAGGAGAGCCCTGATGTGAGGGGCGGTGAGGCCGGCAGAGGCTGCTGGGGCATGAGGATGCTCCTGCCACAGTGAGGTTCTGGGGCCTGAGGCAGTGGGTCCCGTGAGAACCCTGCAGGGTACTCACCTGATGGGCATCAAGATCAATGATGGTGGCCCTGGAGATGCCCTCCACACGATCAAACAGAAACTGTGCGGGGGAGGAGAAGGAGATGTGAGGACCCAGACAGGCCAGAGGACCCAGCCCTCCCGGACTCCGGTTGGTAACAGGCAGGCCGGGAAGGCACACATGCCTGTGGGGCCCCGATGTCTATGCCTGCAGGAGGTGGTCAGGGAAGACTCCCTGTAGGAGAAGGTGTGGCTGTGCCCTGAAGGGTCAGAGGTCAGGAGGGAGATTTCCTGAGAATTGTGTAGGGGTGAAGGGGGGAATCCCCGTAGCCCTGGAATATCACTCCCCAATCACTGCCTCTCCCTACAAGGCAAGGCCTAAATTCTCCCTCTTCTAGGAAGCCTTCGTTCCCTGCTGCTCCCTCCAGGAAAGCCTCCTGTGCTCCTTCCTCCCCTCTCCTAGTGGCCCAGCCACCTGTTGACCCACCTGCTTCTGCCATTAGTCTGTGTTTCCCATGAAAGTAGGGACCACATTGGCTCCCTCCTGAGGCCCAGTGCAAGGCCAGGAATGGAGCAGCTGGGGGGACCTTGGGACCAACACCAGATCTGCCCCCCTGTGGCCTTATGGCCTCACCCCCAGCTCGGGCTCCTCTGAGGAGCGCAGCACAGGGCTGAGTGTGCAGTCAGCACCCGGGTTCTGCCCATTCCCCCTCCCGTGCAGGGAAGCCCTTCTCCCTTCACTCTTGATTGTTGACGCAGCACATACTCCCGCTCCAGGCCACGGGCTCTATGGGAGGCTGGGATAACTACCTTCCTCACAGGAGCCCTCTAGGCTACAGGAAAGAAGAGAAGGTGTCAGATCTGGATTCTTTCCAGCCCAGCTGAGCAACCCAGGACAGCCCTCTCCCCACTTTAAGCCTCAGTTCCCTTCTCTGTAATTTAGGGCAAGAACACGCAATTTGGGGCTGCGAAAGGGGTTCCAAGGACTCTCAGAGGCAAGTCCCCCACATGCTCATGGACACACCTTGATGGCGAGTGAGATGTCTGCATAGGCACAGAAGCCCCCACCCCGGTCGCTGGAGCAGTGGTGGAAGCCGCCCCCTGTGGAAGGGCAGATAGTAGCACTGGTCAGGCCCAGGGGCACCCATCCATCCACCCCTCCCCTGCACACTTTCCTCAACTCCCAAGGACGACTCCACTCCTCATATTCCAGATTGGCAGAGTGAACTGAGCACCTAGGCATGTCACCAGCTCCGGTCAGGAGGCAGCCACCTCACCTCTCAGGGTATGCCCTCACACCAGCCACAGTGCCTGTGCACATCCCCAGGTGACAGGGAGCTCATCAACCCCAAGGCAGAAAGCTGCTCCTGTGTCCACCAAGTTGGGCCTGCCTCCATGAGACTCCCCACACCAGACGAGGTGGTGGCCTATGGGACCTCTGGATTCTGCCAGTGCTGGGAGGAGATTGTTGGGTGGGGCACCTTCTGCTGGTCAGGGTTGCTCATAGTGGGGGAGGCTGAAGACCAGGATCCATCTCCCCACAAGACACAACTTCAGAACCCCAGGCAGGCAGCAAGTTTCTCTCCTGCATCCCCTAGGAGAACCTCAGTGGCCCCTGCCTTAGCCCCCTCAACTCTGAAGTTGAGCCCAACACCTGCCCTCTGTACAGCACGAAGCTGGGGCCATGGACACAGGGACTTGCCTGTGTCCATCACTCAGGAAGCCATTGTGGGATCATAATGATAACAGCCAACATTGAACTCCTGACCAAGTGCTGAGCTTGCTAAAGACTCCCTATAGTGCTATCACCACCAATGTCCCATTTTACAGATGAGAAGATGACTGCACAGAGGTCAGCAACTTTCCCAGAATCACAAAGCTAGTGTGATTCCAGCCCAGCTGAGCAACCCAGGACAGCCCTCTCCCCACTTTAAGCCCCAGGCACCAAGCAGAACCTGGACTCAATTCCAAGCTGCATCAGGACCCAGGCTCTTAATCTCTATGAGGTCCTAACACCATCCATGGGGAAGGGCCACCCAGGCCCTCCTCAGAACCCGACTGCAGACACACAGGGCACAAATCTCTTACTGGTTTGCACAGCAGTGTCACAACATTGCCATGCACACCTAATGCTGGACACCGGCCATACCATCACAGATGAGACCCAGTCCCTGGCCTTGCAGACCTCACAGCCGAGGAGACACCATGCTAATGTGGCTTTCCAAGGGAAAATAGGGAGACACCGTACATGGGACTCTGAGGAAGCCAAGGCTTCTCTCGGGGTCTAATTCCTTACTAATGAGAGAGACCTAATGACAGTTATGCCCAGCTCAAATGAAAGGCCGGATGGGAAAGGGTTTTATAAACCGCCAGGTGCTGTCCTTCCACAGGACACTTACAGGGACAAGGAAGACTGACTGGGCAGCCCTCCCATGAGCAATCTTATGGGAAGGTCTAGGGGCTGTGGAGTGCTGCCCTTGGGGACATCCACCCACCAGGACACAACCAAGCCCCTGTCCTGGGCTCCAGGAGCCAGGTGAGTCTTTTAGGGGATCCACATGGAAGCAGGCTCCAATTCCTTATAGAGCTGCCCAGGGGATGGCACAGGCTCTCAAGGAAGGAGAGAGCTCCCTGTCACTGGAAGTATGCAAAGGTGGGGCTGGGGAGCCACCTGGGGACTCTTCAGGCAAGGACCCCACATCAGAGGGAGGCACCAGTTGGTCCTTCTGAGGAACCAGAAGGCGGCACATCCACCTCCTGGCTACTCCATAAGGAGGCACAAGGTAGCTCCAGGGGCACCAGAGCCTCTGCATTCACAGCTGCCACATCCAGGGTCCTCCCGCCCTGCGCGGCCCCCAGACCTGTCAGGCCCACTCCACCAGGCCAGGCTAGGAATTCTCGAGGCTCCCAGCACTCACCCACGTTGATGGCCCAGCCTCGCTCCACGGCCAGCTTCCCTGCCTTGGGAGATAAGCAGAGGGTGAGGGTGCAGCAGCCTATTTCCTCCCTCCCTCCCTCCCTGAACCACACACTCATTCTATAAACAGGGCTTCCAGCCAGGGGGGCAGGGGTGAGTTTTGAGGTGGGGGTGCAGGAGGAATTCCCTCCGAGCAAACTCAGCCAGTCCAGGAAGCAAGTTATCAGATTGGTTGGCATATGAAATGTAAGGACCATAAAGCCCTTTGCAATTGCGCAAAGAAAGTGGAAGAAATAAAACTTATCAGTCACATGTAAGCTGACGATAGTTTTAATGTGGCTTTCCAAGGGAAAAAAGGCAACTTTTTTCTAATGGAAATATAGTACACTGGACACTGAAATCCTGTAGGAATAGGAAAACATAGTTTGGGGGTAGGTAGCATTTTACTAAGCTAAAAAAAAAAAAGGTACAAATTATCAAAGTTAAATGGGAAACATAGGGGATCACAGCCATACACTGAAATACGAAATGTTCTTCTGCCTTCAATCAACTAGGCAGTCTGTGGCTAATTTTTCAGAAAACTACACACAGGATGTAAGTATCCTTTGCTATTACCCCAAGGTGGGGGAAAGGTGGAGCTTTATGCATTGATGACATATAAGGGCTGGTTTTCCACCTTAAATCTGGGTGCATTAGAGCCATGGTTTTAGGACACATTCTTTGGGGGATGGAGATATATCTTATATACCAGCAAATACGGTAACAGGAGGTCATGGGGAAAGGAACAATGAATTCTAATGTCCCAAGATGGGGAAAAAAAGGCATTGGAGAAAGAGTCACTGTTGCTGAGCCCTGAGGAATATTTAGAACTTTGTTCAAATGCTAAATGTGGGGAGGGCATTCCAGGACCAAGGAGGTAGGAAGGATCCTGGGGTGCAGGGGTCCCCAGTCCACCCATGCCATCCCTTCCCCACCTACCATTATGGTTCCTCCTGTCTGGGTCCGAAGGGGCCTCAGCACCTTCCTCTGCACAAGGAAGTTGGGGAGAAAGATGACAGGGGGGATTTCTGTGATGGTGGCGACCACAAAGGACCACTGTGGAAAGAGACATGGGCTGTTGACTTCCCACCGTCCCATCCAGAGGCAACTGGGGATATCAGATCCCCTGCAATGCCTTGAGGATGGCTCAAGGTGCCCTTGGCTAAATGTACTTCCTTTGGTGAGAAATGACAGTTGCAACCCCGTCTGCCCTGCCGAGCTCTAGGCTCCATAAATATTGCTTTCCACAGTGTATTTCTTCAGCTGTGTTGACTCAGGTTCCTCCACACTCTGAAGCCCTTGGCTGCCCTCTTGTGCCTAGAACAGGAGCTGCAGAGGGTTCCAAGTCAGCTGTGCACTGAGGGGGGCACTGAGGCCCTGGTCTCCTTCCTCCCCTGCACTGCATGGTTTTCTCATCCATCAGGAATCAGAGCTCCCCGAGAAGGGGGCATCCTGCCCTCATCTCTGGTTGTTGAGGCAGGGGGTCTAGGGTACCTGAGAAGTATTTATGCTAAGACCAGGACAGAGTATGCCTTGTGACCTCAAAGTCCCCCAGATAAACATCCATGGTTCTAGCTGCCCAGCAGCACCCAAATCCTTTGCCATCTGTGCCTGGCTGAGACTGCACTGAAACCTTTCTCTGGCTCTCCGCTGACCCCAGGCAAGTCCCTGGTGGAGTTTGAGTCACTCACTCTACAGATACATAGCAAGTGCCTGCTAGGCACCCTGAAGCAGGGGGTCCGATCCCCATGCCAGCCCACTTGCAGCCCAGCAGGGAGGCAGATAAGTGGAGACACACTTATGTGCAGTGTTATAAGTGCTGCATGGACAGGATGGATGTGGGAGTCAGAGAGGCTATGGGGGAGGCACCATCTGCAGGAGGTGAGTGATCTAGATGTGGGGTCAGACAAAAAGGCAACTGCCAACAGAGAAGCCAGTCCCCAACCTTGTTGGGCACAGGGGGCCAGGGCAGGTCCCTTATCCCATAAGGCTTAGTCGGCTAGCCCAGGCTCATATATTGTTGTCAAGAGCAGTGGGGAGCCACAGATGGTGCTGTCCCAAGATGCTCTAGCTGCAGCAAGAGCCAGCTGGGAGAACAAGAACAGAAGCAGCAGCCCCAGAGAGGAAGCAGAGATAGTGAGGGTGTGGGGACATGAGAGGGGAGGTACAGGCAGAAAGGGGGGGGCCTCCAGGAGGAAGCCTAGTTGTTGGGCCTGGAGCCTGTGAGGGTGATGGCACCACCTGCGAGGAGAACCTGGAGCAGGTTAGGGGGAAGGTGCTCGGTGGTGTTCTTGATGGGCCAGCTGGGCCCTGGACAGCCCAGCTGAGGGAAAGGGCAGAGAGACTCAGGAGACATAACAGGGGTGGGGAGAGTGGGAGACCATGTGGGGACCACAGAACTCTAATGCTGAAGGGCAGGGGACTGCCCAGGACAGGGGTGAGGGCGTGGAAGATGCCCGGGAGGCCAAGTGGAAAGATTTCTGGAAGGAGCGGGTAGAGGGAGGTAGAGGCTGCTGAGACATCATAGGAGAGAGGTGGGAGGCGTGGCCAGGGCACCCACCAACCAGGAGAGGTGGGAGGCGTGGCCAGGGCACCCACCAACCAGGAGAGGTGGGAGGCGTGGCCAGGGCACCCACCAACCTAAGGAGAGGGTTTTAGGACTGGAGTGACCCAGTGCATTTCAACAATGGGAGCAGCCAGGAGGGAGACAGAGGAGGCGTGGCCAGGGCACCCACCAACCAGGAGAGGTGGGAGGCGTGGCCAGGGCACCCACCAACCCAAGGAGAGGGTTTTAGGACTGGAGTGACCCAGTGCATTTCAACAATGGGAGCAGCCAGGAGGGAGACAGAGGAGGAGGATGGGTATGATGGCAGAAAGGCCAGGAATGCCTTAGCCAAGAGGCACCAGGCAGTTGGGCAGGACGCAGGACACCACAGTGTGATGTGCCTTAGCCCACTGGCCACCAGGGGAGACATTTTGCTGGGGTCCCGGGCATCTCGGCCAGGTAGGCTGCCATTTACTGCCGGTGAACACTCATGTGGCCAGCCCTCCCAGGCTGGCAAGGGCAGCTGAAGGCTGGGAAAGCTCACCTCACCCCTCACCAGTGGAGGCGCAGGTGCGAGGGGCCCACAGGATGCAGGCCTGCGGTCTGAAAGAAGAGGTGTCTGTCTGGGCTCCTGCAAGCCCAGGGCCTCTGCTGTACCACAGAGGCCTCAAAGGGCCTGGTAGGGGTGAGAGTGCAAAAGCTGAGACCAGGAAGGCCAGACAGCTGTGCGACACACCCACTGTGTGTGCATTTGTGCAGCGTGCGAGTGTGTGTGGTGGGGGACACACCTAGAGGAGGAAAGGCCCCTGCCCAGGGTCATTGGCTCCTCCTCTCCACCACACCAATCCCACTACCCAGCACAGGCCCGGCTGTGGTAAGCCTGGAACCACAGTTTTCTATGAAAAAACAAACAAACACGTGAGCCAGCAAAGGGAGGAATTCAGTCACTGCCTCCCTCTCACCCTGGGCAAGCCAGGAGGACAGAGAGACTGACAGGCAATGAAGCCAAAGCCCCTCCTCAGAGAGTCCAGTAGTCACAAAATCCCAAGAAAGGCGTGATCTGCACGTGCTCCACAGCTGTCACCCACTCCATCAGGACAGGGTCCACAGGCAGGTAAGTCTGGGAAACACTGCTTACTTATATCATCCTCTTCCCACAAGTCCACGACACACTTTGCAGTGGTGAAGACTCTGAGCTTTAATCCCCTAACTTTGCTCCACCCAGCACTTCTCAAACTTTCTGACTACAAAGCTCCCATCACCTTTGCTTTTTACATAACACGTGCCTATCTCCCGCAAAGCTGCAGAGGTGGGGGATGTGTTTGGGAGCCTCCGAGTTACAAACTGGGTCTGACCTGATCCAGGGGCCTCAGCAGCAGGGCCAGCCCTGCAGGGAAGGAGTGCCTGTGTCTGCCACACCAGTGCTCCTGGGAGGTGGGCACCCTGGGGAGCAGCGGGCTCTGACAGCCAGGCGGCTGGCCCCTGGGGCTTCTCCCCGCTGCTGCACAGCAATGGTCTCCTTGTCAGGCAGTGACGCAGTTACCAATACTCCAGGCCTGTGCCATTCAACCCAGGAGCTGCCAGCCACACGTAGCTACTTATGTATGACTTCAAAGTAATCAGAATTTTTAAAAATTAGAGTTTTATTCCTCAGGCACATTTGCCATATTTCAAGAGCCACGTGTGGCCAGTGGCTACTGGATTGGGCAGAGCTATCTGGAACATGGCTATCCTTGTAGAAGATTCTGTTGGATGAGATTGCCCTAGAAAATCACCTAGCAGTGGCCAGGGTGAAAAATAAATGGGTGGGACAGACTGTGGCTGGGACCCTGGGTGAGGGGAGAAGAGAGAAAGGGGACAGTCTGGCCGGAGCAGGCTGTGTGGTCAGCGCAGAGACAGGGGTGCCTCGGAGGGGGCTCAGGCATCAGCTGGTGACATTTGGAGATCCACTTACCGACAAACGGCAGGGGATGAGCAACATAACATCAACGGCAAAGCAGCACCAAGGAGCTTCCCCAGCACCCAGTAAGAGGTAAGGGAGCTCTGGAGAGAGGACAGGTGAGGACACGCCCCAGCACTGCAGACCGACACCTTATCTGGGTCTTGCAGCATGCTGCAATGGGGCCACCCATGTCAGGTCAGGCTCTCTGAAGGGGCCCAGGTTCCAAAGTCCTCCTCAGGGTCAAAATGGTCCAACTCTGGGCCCGCCATGGGCTGTGTGAACTCGGGCACAGCCCTTTCACTTTTCCCTGCCTCCACCTGTCTCCTCATCTAAGAAACAGGCTTTGGATGAGGACTCAGATGTGGAAGCTGGTCAGAAAGGCCTGTCCTCATTGCCTAGTCTAAAATCCTCCCCCCTCCCCCAGGCCCCCTTGAGGCCTACCTCAGTATCATCTCTCCAGGCAGCACATCTCTACCTGCCTACGGCTACAGTGGTTGTGATCAGTATCTGTCTCCCTCTAAAGGATGAGGGCAGGCAGGTGGCTCTGCCCACTGCTGTACAGGCAGTGCTGAGAAGAGCATCTGGCATCAGGAGGGGCCTACAGGGCCCACTGTGGACCCCCTCTTCTGGCAGGTGCATCCATTACCCTTACTGTACCTGGTCCTCATGAAAGCCCCCCTTGCCACCTGCACTGTCTCAGGAGAACCATGACTGACGAGGGGCTATGACAGCTAGGCCACCACGTGGGGACACGCCTAAGGGCTCCCTGTGGGCTAGGCTAACCCCCACCTGTGCTCAGCTCCTCCCCTCTCCTGCCTCTAATAGGCCTCACCTGAAATCACCTGTACCTGGATCCCCCAAGTCACATTCTGCATCTAGGGTTCTGGTTCTCTATGACTGGCTCCTGACTTGCAGCCCTGTACCACTACAGAGTGCGTTAGAAGTGCAGATGCTCAGCCCCCACCACAGACATCCTGGATCAAAAACTCTGGGAGTGGGGCCTAGCTGGCCGTTGTAACAAGGCCTTCAGTGATTCTGGCACTTGCTCAGCCTGAGATCCACTGTTCTAGGGAAGGTGACCTAAGGCAGTGCGTGTCCCAGCCTGATGGCACCACCCATCAAAGGGCATAACCTGCAAACTCCCCATCGTAGGGCCTGGCCAGGTGTCAGGGCCTCCCTAATCAGCCTTGAGAGACCCCACAGATAGCAGATGCACGTGGGGCTGGTGACATCTCTGGGTCATTCTGCTCCATCTACTCAGCTCCACAAGCCTTCACCTTCTGGCAGCTCCATCCCCTTGGGTGGACCCCTGCTCTTAGAGGTCCAAACCAAAGTCTGCTCTCAGGAAAGAGATTAGCTGCAACCCCCTTTTGCACCCCCACTTCTTGCTTTGGGTGAGTCCTTCCACCAGTAGGAGGGGGAGAAAAAGGTGAGAAGGGAAAAAAACACCTGCTCTCTTGGCTAAGGCACAAAGGGCCTTTGACAAAGGACTTTCATGGTGAAATCACTCAGCAAACTAGGAACAGAAGGGAACTCTCGCAGCATGGTAACAAGCACTGATAATAGATT